TTACCGTAGCGACATCAACGTTGCAGTGAGTAAAATCATTGAATTTACGCTATCTATAACTAGAAGTTATCAGAATTGGATCAACCAACAAATTGATCAAAATAGGTTTAGCAAGCCTTCTTATAATCATCTTGGGTGTTACCATAGCAGTTGTCGTATTGGCAGTTCGTGGTTTAGGTCCATTTTTCCGAGAAACATCCAACCACACAACAATAGCAATAGCAATAGAAACAACAAGAACAACATCAACGTCAATAAGAACAATAACAACAACAACACCTGCTACTACTACTATTACCACCACAAGTACGGCGAAAAACGAAAGGTTTATTCATTATACTTAAAGTATGATGAGTATCAGTACTAGAGATGGTCGAACCAGATACATAGGAGAGAACAAAGACTCATATGTTATTTCTTTATGATTTTTAAACAACTGATAACGTCATTCGATCATGGGGGGATGAAGAACATGATAGGAAGGAAGGAACATTTGAATGCATAAAACACTCTCGTATGAAGAGAGGATTATTTATTTTGTTATTCGAGAGGTTAAATCCTCAAGATTATTTGGTACAATGAGGACAGAAAGAAGCTAATAGAAGAAGAACAATGAAGAATACCCTTCCTTTTGCTTGCCTTAAAATGTGGAGTGTTGTCCAAAGACAGTTTCGAAGGCAACACGTTTTTCCCACGACACCTGCTAGTTGTGACTCTGCCCAGAAGATCGATCTGACCTTGAATTCAACAAGCTTAATCGAATAAGCTCCCCATACTGCACACAAGGACTTTTGCTAGTGCCAACCATGCATTCAATGTGGTACATGATGAGTTTTCGAAGGCAGAAAGTTACTAGTAATTGGTCCAAGGTGATTATATGTTTAAGAGCGTCAAGATTCAAGCGCGATACTTGTTAGATGCGTCGAGCATCTAAACCTCTCAACCACAGTAACTGAAGCAAACTGTACCATATAGGGTAGAAACAATAACAATTTCACGACCGAGATTAATGTAAAAAGGTATCTAAGTTAGTAAAAGTGATTGAGTGACAATCTTTTGAACTGAAAAGTACCTACCATGGTTTAGAGCACTTTGAACTGTTTATGTAATAGATCGAGATGAGAAGAAACTTACGACTTAGTCAGTGTTTGATTAGGTACAATCGCTACAGTTTTCGAAACGTAAGATGAAATTGGACGAAATTTACAACTCAGATGAGTAACTAAATCTAGTAATTAGAAGTTTATCATGAAGGAAATAATTTATTCATTTTTTTTCTCAAATTGAAATGGAAAACTGCCAGTTTTAAACAATGTGTCGTCATCAACATCATCTGCCTGTACGAAAACTGCTTTTTTTAATTTAGGAATAAAGAGGACGTCGACTCCTTAAATTCGAGAGCCAGATTTAGTAGAGAAAATGTACCATTACAATCAACACTAAAGCAGTATCTTCGTTTGCTCTAGTTTTATTGATCTGGTTTTGACAAAATTGACAGAAATCTTGAAAAATTCACATGCCTATTTTTGTCTGTTTCGATTGAATATCTTCTTTAATTCTTTTGCAATTGATGCGTATATATTTCAAAAACTAACCAGTCGTCCATTAATGATTCCTACACTCTCATGATACGACTTTGTCATTGTTATGATGATAAAACATGACAATTTTAATCGATGTGAAGCTACTACGACGGATTTAGATGATCTCTGAATCGTCAACGCTGAAACCCAGAGGCATAGGACCCGCATGAGCGTGTTGGGCATGTGCTTCCGAGAACCCTCATGCAGGTCTTATGCATCTGGGGTCCAACGTTCAGGATTCAAAGATCAGCTAAATCCGTCGTGGTAGCTTCACATCGATCCTTCCTCACCAGTATTCTAGGTCCACAACTGAGTTAAACAATAGATTTATCCAATAAAGCGTTCATATGAAGAATTTATCTATCGAAGAGAATTGGAAGGAGTAGCAGGACGATTTTTCTTCCCGTAAATTCTGTGTTTCCTTTTGTCTTTGGAATACTTTCTCTTTGACTGTCTCTTTCTCCAGAAAAAAAACTACGATTGAACCTTTTTGCTTCTAATTGTTTTTTTTATAAATTTGAAAATGCTTTTCGTGTTTCATATAATACAACAATAGTTTATTTCGTTGTTAGAAAAGTGTTTATAGTAATCAATCATTATCTCTCCTTCACAATGTCATCGGTACTTTATTTCATCAACAACAATACATACCATATCGTGATTTAACTTTAACATATGTATGTAAAACAGCCTTGGCAGTGATGCAAAAATAGTTATGTTAGCAACCATTAGTCAGTCATCAACTATTATTGATGAAACAATAAATGCATCACGATATACAGATCTTACTGCAAAAATAACAAATGTACATGAAACAGAAACTTCACATTTAAGACATGAAATAGATGAATTGCATGAAGAAAATATATGTAATAGATAATATTTGTGTTTTACATTCAATTTAATCAAAAAATAATATTTACATTGAATATATCCTAAAATATAAGTGACTGAAATGAATAAATCACGTGAGTAGATTTAAGTTAATAGAATTCAGACTGTTGGATGAAAGTTTTAATCAAATAAACATATTATTTATATATCGTTTTGGATAATTTAATATTTTTAATGATCACATATTTTTTTATTTATTTTTTCTCAAAAATATATTACCGATATCTAATAAGTTGAAAACAGCAAATACTGATAAAGGATGAATGAATTGTTTAATAATCAAGTTATTAATCAATATGTTTAAAGAGAAAGAAAGAGAGATGAGTTACTTCTGAAATTGTTAGTGAAACAATTTTGGATTTAGGAAAATGAAATCGGAAATTGATTCCCAGACAAATGCTTGGTGAAATGGCGAAAAAAGGGTTTGGGTGGGTGTGAGTGTGATTCTACGTCTTCTGATCCCCCCCTCCCCTCCTCACATCCTATTCACTTTTGGTTGTCGAAATTGATCCAAATCAAAATATAATAAATATGCACTGCGAACACTTTTTTCTTTACGACTGTATTTTTATTATTATTAATATAAAATGCAGAATGCTAGTTCCGGAATGGGAATATCTTTTTTAATTAATTCTTTCTATTCCAATGTAACACAATGAATTTACTATTATGAATTGGATCAAATATTTGTTTATATAGTTTTCTTTTAATCAAAATGTCTTTGTTTTTATATGATTTTTTGACAATTGGTTTGCATTAATTTTTTTTTCTTATTATTTTGACGAATACTTACAATATCATAATCAAACACACACCAGTTTCTATCCGTCCAATGTATTGTCTTTATTCTTGAAAAAAAAATCAAGAGAACAGTAACTAATGTTTAGGTCATTATATAGTTAATTCATTAACTAGAGTTGATCGTACTGGATGTGATATATGTACTTAACTAATATCCATCTTGCATAAAATTTCATATACATAGGGATTTTTTTTTATTTCATTATAAAATGAAGAAAAAATTAATCAAACGTTTCATTGATCCAAACAACGAAGAGCATACATTTGGTTGAAAATAATGGCAAAAGAAAAGTAATCACTTTTTAGTTTTCTTTTTCAAATGAATCGACAAAAAAAACAATAGATGATCTTTGTATTCATAAATAATTCTAGATTGATGGTGGATGCAATGTTAGAAGTTTCAAATTCCGATACACAAGGATTCTTAGGAAAATCTGGCATATAAATTCCGTGAAATGTGTTAAATTAATCTGTAATTATTCTCGTGTCAGAAACACTTCATTGATCACCAATGTCATACGGATATCAAAATCCTTCGCGAAGAATGTCAGTAGCACCTTCTTATCAACAAGAACCAATTCCAATGATGGCTAATTCTAGACCATCATTTCAACCAATACCAATGGCACCACAATATAAAGATCATTCAGTAGACTATAATAATTCATTTAAAAAATCCCAAATTGCAACACCCATCCAAAACTATAATATGTATTCACAATCAAATAATTGTATGTTATTTAAGTTAGAATTTAATAATTGAGTTTATGTTTTTACAAAGCTGCCAGAACTCGATCATCAATGCAATCAACAAAGGAATTTATTCAACCATCACGAATGTATTCATCAAAACAACCAGCAATGAATAAAATATATCCTTATAATTCAAATCAATTATATTATCCACAAAGTAAGTATATAGGTCAAGCTGATTATAATTTTTTTCTTTTTCATAAATTTTAAAATCAACTATTTTTTAGAAGATGTTTATCCTAATGATGATTTTGAACAAAATGATAAATCGGTTAGAAAATAAACATTTTTTTCATTAAATCTCACTATTTATTTTTTAGACTTCATGTTGTTCGCGACCGTTATGCTTAGGTTTCACACGATGCACTGGTATATCTCTATTTGGAATAATGATAGTAGTCGGTGCTGCATCACTCGGTGGTCTTATTGCTTCAGCTATTTTATATGTTCAAGGTAAATTCATAAATTTCTTTTAGTCAAGTGACTATATTTATTTAGTTTAGATTCATCTACAGATTCATCGTGGAAAGTGTTAGGTATGGTTGTCTGTTCTGCAATATTAATAGCAATACTTGTAGCTTTGTGCATAATTATTTGCTGCTACAAATCTGGTCGATTTGGTGATAATGAAAATGAAAACCGATTAACAAAACCTGAATTTAATCAAGAAAGCTATTTTGGAAAAACAAATAATTATAATCAATCGTATATGTCATCAATACCAAATGGAATAATTCACAGTACTTCATACAACTCGACAAATGAAGATGTTATTCAAGTTGAAGATAAACAAACAAATACTGAAACAACTATGGCTCCTTTACGACCAAGAAATTTTCAATGTGGAGTATGGCCAGCAACCAATGCATATGGACATGTATCCTATCGTCCAGTCGTAAAACCACAAATGATTGATCGTTTTATACAAACAGCATCCAATGAAATCGATCAAATGATACCACAACAAAATAATAGCATAATCAGAACTAAACCGAAAACGATTATTCTACTACCAGAAAATCGTCATCAACATGATGAAGAACAATATCCAAGTCGTTTTATTGAACAAAGACCACGATATAACATTGTCGAAAAAATCATTAAAAGACCAAAATTACGTCTAATAGAAGAATACGTTGAATTTGATGAATTACCGACAAACGGTAGGATTCGCATTGGCAATGGAAGAAATATACCAAGGCCCATTAAAGTTATTGTTCAACATGTAAAAGTACTTGAAGAACCAAATGTTCTTTAAAATGATTTTAGTACTGGTCATTTTTATCAATAAAATATGTCTTTTTATTTTATTTTTAATAAAGAAAAAGAAAAGTAGTCAATATAACAGCACAAGTTTGTGCATTTGAGAAAGATTTCAATGAGATTTTTACTTTATTCATCACAGAAAAGATTAACGAAATGAATCTTCAAAATACATTAAACAAACCATTGCTATTGTGATTGTGATTGCTATGTAAATGAATGATTTAACGATTGTTACCTGGCAAATAAATCACTCAATAGCTTTTATCATCCTAAGAATAATTTGTAGTCAATTTATTTTCAAGTTTTTTTGAATATATTAAGTATTTGATGATTTAATACAGGTAACAATCGATCAAAAGATTATAACCATCGATCTAAAAAACATCGATGAATTCAATTAAAATCGGATATTTAGCTATGAGATGGGGGTGAATTTGAGTGATGGTGTGATTGACCAGAACATCCACACCTGTTTCTCCTAGACATGCCTAAGTGAAATTTCGATTTTTGTGATTGAGTAGACGAAAGTGAATAGAAAATTGACAACCAATCGAATTTCTCCTTATCGAATCATTCACTAGATCGACAGAAATCATTGTTCACTTTTCTTCACCTTTAGCATTCAAATTAACTCCTCAACTAGTAGTCACATCTATCTCTGAATCACTACAGCTATTGTGTAAGTTCCTTTTTTCACTTCAATAGCTCTTTTCACTATTTATTATCATAAACTTTCTCGAATGATCTCTATCAATGAACACATTGTTTAACTGCTAGTCCAACATAGACATTTGTGATATCCTATATATTTACTCTGTTTGTCACGTTATATTTACTTCGTTATCTTTAATGTCTGTAGGAAATATATGCTTAAAATAACAGAACATACAAATACATGTAAATTTGCGAAAGAAAACTACACATAAGAACTATTCAATTTTATTTCGATAGGATTAATTGATATCGAAGTTAGTTAATAAAATAAAGTAAGTGTATTTTATTATTTATATATAGATTAGAAATAGTCATTATTAATAATATCGCAAAATAATTTCTACTCTTCAAATTGCTTTTTTTTTTCGATAGACTTGACTAAGGCCACATTTTATCGAATAGTCACGTCAAAGTAAATATATGAAATGCACAATCCTATCGAGAATTAGATATAAAATGTTTCCAATTGTTTTGAGATTCTTGTTATAATATTTGAAACATATCATAAGAAGGGTGCTCTTCATAACTAGCCGTATCACCTAAACAGTGTTTTTACTAGTGATGCTCATGATAGGACACGATATGGTTAACTATGTTTGAAGACAGGATCGAACTGATCACGAGTATCACACTTCTTTCTCATATAAGCTTTTTGTTTTTTTTTCTTGCCTTCTATTAGAGAGAAAAAATATTTTATCTCTCTCAAAAAAGTAAATAGCCCTGTTTAGTGTTGACTACTTCAGGTGAGTGTTGTGACTATTGAAGATCTGCTAGTTCGTAGATTTTTGGAATCAAACCGTCCCGCTCCTGAACCGTCATCAACATTTTTTCAACCTACAAATCCGCTTAGTCGTATATCTTGTCTGATCTTTCTCTGTACTTAAACATTGTGTGTACAAAAAATCGATTTTAACAATATTATAAATGGGCTTGGTAAGTGATGAACAGAGACTTTTAAGAATGGGAACGATAAACACTGGAATTTATGAAGCCCACTGAATGATTCGTGAAGATGACTTTACGTTTAATAAAACACAAAAATGTATTAAGAAGAATTACAGTAAGAGAATACGTTCAACTGAATCAATTTGAGCTATAATATATCTGAATGGTGTATATAAATAAGCTTTAATAAAAACTTTTGAGAACGTTGACTTTTTTTCATGCTATTTGATGATCTAATAGTATCATTGATGATAACACATGAATCTAAACGGTAATGAGAGTAATCCGATGGATACTATATGAAACGTCAGTAAATTTACTATTTGTTAATCGTTCTTTAACGTATGAGTAACCATTGTAATTAAGACATGATTATACTTTGTTGTGCCATGATTCAAAATTATTGCCGTGTTGAAAAATTGGTAGTGGTGTAAAACAACTATTCTGTCATCTATTTATAGTATTGAGTAATAATTTTCTTTCTTCTTATTAAAAATGATTAATTAGATGAAGATTAAGTCTATTATTGCTTTTGAGCATCCAATCTGATTAACATATACATTCTTACTGATCATTCAGTAGGCTTCAACGATATGCTGACCTTATTTTTGCTCATCATTCCAGTTTCCTTACAAAAGACAGTCAAAAATCAATCTAGAATCTGTTTTCATATGTCTTCTACTGACTCCAATTCGTCGCGTTCTCAGTCAACAACGACAACAACAAAAGTTATGACAACTACAACTATAAAAGTTTTTTTAGATGATGATTGTATCAGTGAGGTTCAAAAAAAACTCCTGCTGCTCTTTCAATAGAAAATATACGAGAAATAAAATTCAACCAAACTTTCACGAAAAAAAATTAATAATCTATCTTGCAATTTAGACAATATTGGCTAAATTGCACTTGTTATTCGTCTCTCTCGTATTCTTTTTATCATCATCTGTGAGTGTCTGCTCCATAAATACAGTAATTCTCTAGACAAAACTTTTTTATACTTTAAAAATTTTTAAAAATTCTAAATTTAAATGATCATCGCATTCATCATTTAACTGAAGCATTTAACTCATTTATACCAATACTAGAGTATGAAACCGGTCGATTTTATAAGATGAACTTTTGAATTTTCTTATTTTAAACATATGTCGAACGGTTAGTGGAACGGATTATTAACTTTGTTTTTATTTTGAACATTTGATTTTTTTAAATGGGCTATTTTGGACTCAAATTGTACATCGCACATTTGTTCGCATTATACTGTCAAAAATCGAATAGAATAATGTTAAACATAGAATAGAAGTTAGTTACTTAAAAAATCTAGCTTATCTTTAAACGGACTGTCTTGTCACTATCCACTTGCTTATTTATTTATTGAGGATAGTCTCACTGGACACGCTGTCCTTTGTCTCTTTCATTGTTTCTCTTTAACAATAGCAATATATCTATATATATGTGTATAAGTAAACATAAAACAACAACATTTTCTTAATCTATCGTATAGATAGTTCAACCACATAACTCTTTTTACAATATTGGGAAACGTCATCATCTCAAGACAGCAAACATAACATCTTCATAAATGTAAACGTAAAAAATGAATCAACCGATATTATTATAGATATTTAAAAATAATATATGCTGGTTTTTCCTAATATACAATATAGAAACGGTCAGCAATTACCGGTATGACTTTAGTTTTGTACTTTATTAAAAATGCATCGAAAGATGATATACTACAATATTTGGGCGACCAAGTGAGAATTTTTTGTGCAATGCAGCGATATAAAAGCATATTAGTATGTTTGAAATGTGTAAGTCATATGTGATCTATTCTTTTAGTTATTATAAATGGTATTGAATGCGATAAAGAAATTGATGAAGATATAGAAATTTCAAAATGATATGTCATTTTTTGTTCTAATTTGTATGACAAGGTATAAATAAGCGTACATTTGCTTCAAGTAAAAAACCATTAATTCAATCAACTATTTATAACGTTCATGAACAAATAAAAAATTCATTAAATTCCTAAGGGTAATATAATTCTTTTGTTGTCAGATTATAACAATGCTTTGTTAGAAAACAATGAACGTCGACTAGAATTTTTACAACGAACCAATGAAGAGAAATATATTCAAGCTTATTGAAAGTATGCTTTCGAATTGAAAGAATATTTATTTAAAAATTTTGTTTGTAACCAATCCAAAAAGAAGCGCATGTAAACGAAAAAGATATTTTTGTTTTTCAATATTTGATTGATGTTCGTTGTATTGATCTTACGATTTTCATTTCATAATCTTGATCATCTATTTTCATTCTTGTCTTTGTATTAAAAAACATATTTTTGTATTATGAAATAAATTGCGTTTTTTTCAAGATACTGAATATCTTTCTGGACATGTGTTCGTATGCTAAGCACGGAGAAGAATTGATGTACAAAAAGAATTACCATTTTTACTGTTATATAATGTATTCTTTGCACCTATTTTTTTCATTTTTCACCATTGCTCTATTAATCTCAAAAAAGCCTTATGAATTGAATGATAATACCGAACCCAATGAAACACAGCTTACCGGATTTTTTTCTATATCAAATGTATATTTGTTCACACTCACACCCGACATATATGGATTTCATGCACTTCATCCTAGGTTACGTATCGAACCTGAGAATATTTGTTTTCATTCTTTTTCTCTTCCACAGTACAGTTAGTTGTGCATATGCGCAGTAATCGATATTGTCAACCAACTATGTGATTGGCTGATTTTTCTACAATGAGTCATAGAAAAAATTTCACAATATACTAAACATTCTCCTTGTCAAATAAGCGAATGCGAATATAATTTGATGATGGTGACACAAAAAAAAACATGTTTGAAAATGTTTTTTTTTTTGTCGAGTATCAGTTGAAAGTGTGCTTTAACATATCAAGAATCGTCACCGATTTAGAATAATTCAATATATCGCGTACTCTGGTTCTGAATAATATTCATATTGTCCAATTATCATTCTCAGATGATATTCCAAGATCGTAAAGATTTATTTTAATGACTCAAGCGTTTATACACATGTTTGAAATCTATATTTCTTCTTCGCTTTTTTGCCTTCAGTTCCAATTTTTTTATCGCTGAGTTAATTTTGTTAATTGTCTGGTTTGTTTGAGTAGATCGTCTAGTCAATCATCTATTCTTTCTATGATAGTAGCATTTTCCTCCTTCACTCATAGTAGTAACTAATTCTTTCTTCTTCGCCTGTCATTTTTATTCATGCATTACTTGATATCCTTTTTGGCAACTTATTGCATACTTTTTTTGTATAGTCAGTTAAAAGTT